AACCTATGAGTTATTTGCATGTTGCTGGTGCCAAAAGGTCCTAGAACTAAATTTTCTTTCTTTCTGCATTTCACTGTCCCACAAGGTGCAGAACCGGCTAAATAAACGAAGCTGGCCAAACTACTGCACTGTTGGCATTCCACCACATCCCACCTAGATCCTGGTATTCCTGAGTCACTCTGAAGGAGGTTTTCAGGGACCTAACCTGCGTTGTTAAAAATTTTTTTTCTGTGAGAAGCAGGTTAGGGCTGGGCAATCAGTCTCTTCACAGAACCCTGAAGAGGAACTGCAGGGATTTCTGCAAGGTTGCCGCTAACTCTGAAAGCTTGCAATACACTCACGTTCTACATCTCAGCAAAGAAGGAAGAAGGCCTGGATCCTGTTGCTTGTCTGCTGGGGCAAAAAGGAGGGTGTGTCGTTTGCCTAACGCTGGCTAAGCACCGTTCCATTCACTCATTCATTCATTCATCAAATGTTTTACTGGGCCCGTATTCAGTGCCAAGCAGAGGTCCTTGTCCACGAGGTCATCCAGAACTCCTGTGAGTGGGGTGCACAGAGCCGAGAACCTCAGATTTTCAGGCAGGGTCTTCTCACTCTTCCGGCCAGCAGAGCTCTGAGACAAAGAGAGGGGCCCCATAGTGCGCTGGGCTGTGGGTTTCGCCCGCGGCCCCCGGGGGCTCGGCCCGGCTGCTTCTCCACTCCCCAGCCCGAGGGGGCGCTGTAGCGCCGGAGCTCTGCCCTCCGCAGCGCGGCGCTCCGCTCGGATCAGCGCGGCGGGATGCAACGCGGTGGTACCTTCCCTCTTGCCGCCCTTCCCCTCCTCGGCCCTCCCTGCGGGTGGTAGGTGCCGGAAGTGCCGCCATTTTGGGGTGTTCTGCTCTGGCGGCGGCGGCGGCGGGACGCGGAGGCTCCCTTGGGACTCGGCCTTAGCAGCGAGGCGGCGGCGGCTGCGGAGGCGCACGCAGCAGCTGAAGTAGCGGCGGGCTCAGGGTCGGCCGCTGGTGAGTGCGGCGGCCGCAGGATAACGGGCTGAGGGCGGGAGGGAGGAAAAGGAGGTAGGAGGGGAGGCGCCGCGGGGCGGGTCCGGTCCGGGCGGCCGCGGGTCAGAGGGCCCTTCGGGCGCGGCCGCTCGCGGTTCCCCGCGCCCTGGGGGTAGGTCCGCGATTTCCTCGGCTCCCTGGGTGCTGCGCGCTTGCTAGGCGTGCGCCCCCGCGCCCAGGAGACCCGCCCTCCTCATGGCCTTGTTCCCTCTCCCCATGCCCTTCACCTTCCTTCTCCGGAGGGCTTACTTGCTTTCCCAGGGGCCAGCTCTGTCTTATTTTTTCCGGCCGCTGTGCCAGACCTGGGCTGCCTGCTCGGGACACCCCTTCCCTGCTCCTCTTGCCCCAAGTGTTCTTGGAGCCCACCCTTGAAGGCGGGAGCAGGACCCCTGCCTCGGGAGACTTCGCTCCTCCTCTAGAGTCTCCAGAGCCCCCGGTTCCTCGCCCCAGATCCGATAGGGCCTTGGCTCGTCCTCCCCCCACATCAGGTGCTTACCCAGTCATGGCCCAGTAGCAGGGCTGGAATCTCGCACCCGGGAGCACAGAAGCACATTGAAGAGCTTTCTTCGCTAGGGATCTCCTTTGGATTTAAAGCCAGTGGTGGTTTGATTGTGGTCCTGTGGTAGGATGTTGTTTTATTTTCTAAGACTATTGCACAGGCTCTAAGGAGCTTCTCGTTGGTCTAGGCTCATTTTGTAGTTGAGGGAAAGGTGGTGAGATTTTGGTTGGAGCCTGTTTGAGGAAAATGGACTCTCTCTCTCCCGCAGAGTTAATGCTGTACTTGTATTACCCATAGTAGAAAGGCTGTTTAACAGATTCAAATAGTGGGAGTTCTTTATGATGGCTGCAGTGTAAGAGGTTACAGATACCCAGTGAATCGTTAACAGGAACTTCACTTTTTACAGGTCTTTTCCCTGTCTTTAATTCTTTGTGGTTTGGACAGTTTTTAATTGCATTCCACCACCTTTTCCACGAGTATGGCATCTCTTAGACTGCTATGCAAGTTTCAGTTTCTTAAATTCTTGGTGAGAAAGGTGTCTCCACTTATCATCACCCCGGATTCTTTCTGTTTTAACTTAATGAGTCCACTTGGAAAATCATTGAGATAACATAATAGCATCCATAAACTATTGCTATAGTCCCCCAACCCCGTGCCAATTTTTATATTCTAGTTTTACTTACAGTGTGGTTTCTGATGATTAATTAGGCAAGATTAAAGCAAAGCTGGAGCTTCAGCTGTTGACTTAATCAGGAAGTTTATGGTTCCCCCAGTGATTCTTTGACTGTCCACCAGCTGTTTCCATTAAGAACGGCTCTTGGCTCAGAGCATAGGCCTCATCTTCTCTCCAACCATCTATTCTTGCCCATAGAGTTTTCAGGGTTACCTAGCAAATGTTTTTAAACAGTAGCATAGTTGATTTTCTTTTTAACATTGCAAGCAATAATGCAAATTGCACTTTAAGATGGATCTACAGGTTTCCATCTCACAGCATAGCATTTTGTCTATGCTGTGAAGCCCTTTAAAGTTATAAAAGTGTATCTGTGTTCTTTATACAAGTGTTCTTCCAACCTTGGGCTGACAAATTGTGGCCGTCCTTGGTGACTTGATGCAAGAATGATTCTAGTATACTGAAAGGAGTGGCAATTCCTCTCTGCCAGTGGAAGCCCTAAGTCAGGGGGCAGATAAAATAGGGAAAAGTTTCTGGTTACCCTTCATGAAATATCTATTGAGCAAGACACTGTGAAAAGCACTGGAGAAACAAGAGAATAGCAAGACAGGCACAGTTCCTGCTCTCATTTAGTTCATGGGTAGGTTCCAAGAAGGCTAACCAATTCATTGTCTTTTTTCATACTCAGCACCTAGATATACTTATCCATTAATTAAACAGTATTTGTTGATGGGGGGAGGTGGAACTTGATGAATGTGGTCAAAAGGTATAAGCTTCCAAGTATAAATGAGTACTAGGGATGTAATGTACAATATGATGACTATAGTTAACACTGCTGTAGGGTATATTTGAAAGTTAAGAGAGTAGATTCTAAGTTCTCATCACAAGGAAAAAACTATTTTTTTCTTTTCTTTTTTTGTATTTATATGGTAGATGTTAACGTATTGTGGTGATCATTTCACAATATATGTAAGTCAAATTAAAAATAAAAACAATCTTTATTGACCACTTATATAGGTTAGGCATTATTCCAGGCCCTGAGGATATAAAACAGATACAGTCCCTGTCCCCATAGAGGTTACCTCCTGGTGAGGGAAGACTACAAGTAAAAGAAGTAAAATAAGAAGTACAAAATATACTATGTTAGATGGTGATAAGTTTTTTTGATAAACACAAGGCAGGAAAGAGGAATTGGAAGCATGGTTGTATGTGTGTGCAATTTTAACTAGGGTCGTCAGTGAAGGCCCACTGAGAAGATGACATTTAAGTCAAGACCTGAAGGAGGTAAGGAAGTATGTCCTATGGACATCTGGCTGATTCTATGGTGCAGAAAAGAACTAGTCAGAGCCAAGTAATGACTCCATAGCATCTCACTATGCTGACAGACAGTGACTGCAATGGGGAGGCGGGACTTAATCATATGGGAGAATGTTGAAACCACAATGTCGTTCATGTGAAACCTTCATAAGATTGTCTATCAATTATACCTTAATTTAAAAAAAAAAAAAAGGGCTAGTCAGAGTCTCTGTTTAAAATATTTCTGCAATCTATAGCACAATCTTCTACAGTATAAAAAATTGTGGTACTATATGTGATATTCTATAAGCTACCATGTTCTATAAGTATGTTTTCAGTAACACATAAAGTTATTAACAAGAACAAGATCATATATCAGCGTTACAAATATATATAAAATGATAAACTACATAGTACAATTAGGGAATATTTGTGCACAATTCCAGGACTAACTGTTTCAGTCTACATAGTACCAGAAAAACTGTGGTTAGTTTCTTTTTTTTCCTCAAGAGGGAAAGAGATGCTTCCAACACGTGGGAAATCCCTTGAGGCTCCTGCTTGTAAGTCCACTTAATTTTTTGTGGTAAGGTAGGGTATAATCAGGATTTGTGGGTGTAAGAACTGTTTGCTTTGGGAGCCAGACGATGTTACAGAGAAATTATCTGCAAACCTATGAGTTATTTGCATGTTGCTGGTGCCAAAAGGTCCTAGAACTAAATTTTCTTTCTTTCTGCATTTCACTGTCCCACAAGGTGCAGAACCGGCTAAATAAACGAAGCTGGCCAAACTACTGCACTGTTGGCATTCCACCACATCCCACCTAGATCCTGGTATTCCTGAGTCACTCTGAAGGAGGTTTTCAGGGACCTAACCTGCGTTGTTAAAAATTTTTTTTCTGTGAGAAGCAGGTTAGGGCTGGGCAATCAGTCTCTTCACAGAACCCTGAAGAGGAACTGCAGGGATTTCTGCAAGGTTGCCGCTAACTCTGAAAGCTTGCAATACACTCACGTTCTACATCTCAGCAAAGAAGGAAGAAGGCCTGGATCCTGTTGCTTGTCTGCTGGGGCAAAAAGGAGGGTGTGTCGTTTGCCTAACGCTGGCTAAGCACCGTTCCATTCACTCATTCATTCATTCATCAAATGTTTTACTGGGCCCGTATTCAGTGCCAAGCAGAGGTCCTTGTCCACGAGGTCATCCAGAACTCCTGTGAGTGGGGTGCACAGAGCCGAGAACCTCAGATTTTCAGGCAGGGTCTTCTCACTCTTCCGGCCAGCAGAGCTCTGAGACAAAGAGAGGGGCCCCATAGTGCGCTGGGCTGTGGGTTTCGCCCGCGGCCCCCGGGGGCTCGGCCCGGCTGCTTCTCCACTCCCCAGCCCGAGGGGGCGCTGTAGCGCCGGAGCTCTGCCCTCCGCAGCGCGGCGCTCCGCTCGGATCAGCGCGGCGGGATGCAACGCGGTGGTACCTTCCCTCTTGCCGCCCTTCCCCTCCTCGGCCCTCCCTGCGGGTGGTAGGTGCCGGAAGTGCCGCCATTTTGGGGTGTTCTGCTCTGGCGGCGGCGGCGGCGGGACGCGGAGGCTCCCTTGGGACTCGGCCTTAGCAGCGAGGCGGCGGCGGCTGCGGAGGCGCACGCAGCAGCTGAAGTAGCGGCGGGCTCAGGGTCGGCCGCTGGTGAGTGCGGCGGCCGCAGGATAACGGGCTGAGGGCGGGAGGGAGGAAAAGGAGGTAGGAGGGGAGGCGCCGCGGGGCGGGTCCGGTCCGGGCGGCCGCGGGTCAGAGGGCCCTTCGGGCGCGGCCGCTCGCGGTTCCCCGCGCCCTGGGGGTAGGTCCGCGATTTCCTCGGCTCCCTGGGTGCTGCGCGCTTGCTAGGCGTGCGCCCCCGCGCCCAGGAGACCCGCCCTCCTCATGGCCTTGTTCCCTCTCCCCATGCCCTTCACCTTCCTTCTCCGGAGGGCTTACTTGCTTTCCCAGGGGCCAGCTCTGTCTTATTTTTTCCGGCCGCTGTGCCAGACCTGGGCTGCCTGCTCGGGACACCCCTTCCCTGCTCCTCTTGCCCCAAGTGTTCTTGGAGCCCACCCTTGAAGGCGGGAGCAGGACCCCTGCCTCGGGAGACTTCGCTCCTCCTCTAGAGTCTCCAGAGCCCCCGGTTCCTCGCCCCAGATCCGATAGGGCCTTGGCTCGTCCTCCCCCCACATCAGGTGCTTACCCAGTCATGGCCCAGTAGCAGGGCTGGAATCTCGCACCCGGGAGCACAGAAGCACATTGAAGAGCTTTCTTCGCTAGGGATCTCCTTTGGATTTAAAGCCAGTGGTGGTTTGATTGTGGTCCTGTGGTAGGATGTTGTTTTATTTTCTAAGACTATTGCACAGGCTCTAAGGAGCTTCTCGTTGGTCTAGGCTCATTTTGTAGTTGAGGGAAAGGTGGTGAGATTTTGGTTGGAGCCTGTTTGAGGAAAATGGACTCTCTCTCTCCCGCAGAGTTAATGCTGTACTTGTATTACCCATAGTAGAAAGGCTGTTTAACAGATTCAAATAGTGGGAGTTCTTTATGATGGCTGCAGTGTAAGAGGTTACAGATACCCAGTGAATCGTTAACAGGAACTTCACTTTTTACAGGTCTTTTCCCTGTCTTTAATTCTTTGTGGTTTGGACAGTTTTTAATTGCATTCCACCACCTTTTCCACGAGTATGGCATCTCTTAGACTGCTATGCAAGTTTCAGTTTCTTAAATTCTTGGTGAGAAAGGTGTCTCCACTTATCATCACCCCGGATTCTTTCTGTTTTAACTTAATGAGTCCACTTGGAAAATCATTGAGATAACATAATAGCATCCATAAACTATTGCTATAGTCCCCCAACCCCGTGCCAATTTTTATATTCTAGTTTTACTTACAGTGTGGTTTCTGATGATTAATTAGGCAAGATTAAAGCAAAGCTGGAGCTTCAGCTGTTGACTTAATCAGGAAGTTTATGGTTCCCCCAGTGATTCTTTGACTGTCCACCAGCTGTTTCCATTAAGAACGGCTCTTGGCTCAGAGCATAGGCCTCATCTTCTCTCCAACCATCTATTCTTGCCCATAGAGTTTTCAGGGTTACCTAGCAAATGTTTTTAAACAGTAGCATAGTTGATTTTCTTTTTAACATTGCAAGCAATAATGCAAATTGCACTTTAAGATGGAATGGAAAGGGCCTCGGGCTTGAAGTTAAAAGGCCTGAATTGTAATCCTTTCTGTGCCAGTAACTAGCTATACAACCTAGTCCCAATCATTTAACTCTTCTGAGAGCTTCAGTTCATGCTTATCTGCAAAATGGAGGAAGTAGTGTCTGTCTCACCTGGTGCTAATTCAGCTTCAGTGCAGTAACGTGTGATAATGCCTGTGATATAAGAGGTAGTGAAATTTTGAGCCAGATTTATGTTTGTCTAAAGATTTCTACTTATTTTTCTTACTACAGAAGTTAGATTCATTTTGAAAAATACAGATAAGCCAGAAAGGAAGAAATTCACCCTTAATCCCACCACTCAGAGGCGATTGTTTCTTTTTATATGCTATAGAAATGTTTATCAAAATAAGCTTATCCTAGGCACAGTTTATTTTGTGAAAAGATTTAACAATATGTGTAAAAGGCATGCATGGTTTAACAATCACATTTTAAATCTGTATTTAATAGTTCTAGTACCTGGGAGGCAGGCCAGTGGATACTCCAGCACAGGAACAGAGAAGTTGCTCTAACATATGCTAAGCTGAAAGAAGCTGAGGAAAGTAAGGGCAGAGACCAAAAAATACATTGTATGTCTGAAAATCATTGTGTGATTTTTTTTAATTTTAATAAAGACCTGGGCCTTCTTGCTAAATGCAGATCATGATTTCTGAATTCCATGTTCCTTCCTGTGACTGCCACTGCAGCTTTTTCAACTTAATTTTCCTTATGAGGCTGGACCTAATAAGGACGTGGGAGATTAGAAGGTGATAGTGGTGTGTGGTGGAAAGGGAAAGAGAAGATCTGTCACCTGGAGGCCAGAGTGAAGAAGTGGAAGGAAGTAGTATAACCTCTACTCAGTGCTTTCGGTTCTTCCAGCAAATGCCATTTTCTTTAAATCAGTGAATGATAGAATTTGGTTAAGCTTTGTTTACTCTGCTTTTTTAAAAACAGCCATTGTGATAGAAGTCACATACCATACAATTGACTGGTTTCGGTATATTACCAATTTTAAAAAATTGTGGCAAAATATGTATAACAAGATTTGCCATTTTAGTCACCTTTTTATATTTGCTTTTTTAAAAATGTAAACACAAAATTTACCATCTTAACTATTTTTGAGTGTACAGTTCTGTGGCATTAAGTATATATTCTCATTGTTGGCAAAGAGATCTCTAGAATTTTTTAGTCTTGCAAATCTGAAACTTTATGACCTTTAAACAACTCCCCTTTTCCCTCTGCCTCTTGCCTCTGGTAACCACCATTTACTTTGTTTCTATGGATTTAACTACTTTCAAATACTAATGTAAGTGGAGTCACACAGTTATTTGGCTTTTCGTGACTGGCTTATTTCACTTACCATATGTTTAAGGTTCATCCATGTTGCAGCGTGTGACAGGATTTCCTTCCCTTTGAAGGCTGAATGATACCTGATTTAGATACCACACTTTGTTAACCATCTGTTTTTGGACAGGAGTTGTTCCTTTTGGTCATTGTTACTACTGCTCTGTGAACATGGGTCTTCAAATATCTCTTAGACCCTCTCATTGTTTTTGGATAACACTCAGAAGTGGGATTGCTCATCATATAGTGGTTCTGTTTTTAACTCTTTGAGGAACCTCATTTTCCATTGTGATTGCTCCATTTTAGGATCCCACCAGCCATGGACAAGGGTTCCAGGGTCTTCATGTCCTTGCCATGTTCTTTTTTAAGTAGTAGCCATCCTAATGGGTGTGAGGTGATATCTTGTGGTTTTGATGTGCATTTCTCTGATTAATGATGTTCAGCATCTTTTTGTATGCTTGTTGGCCATTTGTATATCATCTTTGCAGAAATGTCTATTCAAGTCCTTTGCCCATTTTTAATCAGGTTATTTGATTACTTTTTTTTATTTGATTACTTTTTGAGTTGTAGTTTTTATATGTTCTCAATATTAATCCCTATCAGATAACATGATTTGCAAATGATTTCACCCTATGCCTTTTCACTTGGTTGATTATGTCTTTTGATGCACAAAAGTTTTTTTAAATTTGATGTAGTGCCATTTGTTTGTTTTTGCTCCTGTTGCCTGTGTTTTTGGATTCTTATACAAGAAATCACTGTCAAGTCCAATTCCATGAAACTTTTTCTATATGTTTTCTTCTAGGAGTATAGTTTTAGGCTTAGGTCACTTATACCAGTTCTCAGAGTACAATTCAGTGGCATTAAGTAAATTCACAATGATGTCCAATTATCATAACTATTTCTAAAATGTTTTCTTCACCCCAAATAGAAACTGTGACCGTTAAGCAATAACTCCCCATTCTCCCTTCCTCCTAGCCCCTGGTAAGTTTCTCTCTCTGAATTTGCATATGCTAGATATTTCAGGTAACTGGAATCATACAATGTTTGTCCTTTTGTATCTGACTTGTTTCACTTACCACAGTGTTTTCAGGGTTCATCCATGTTGTAGCATGTATCAGGACTCATTCCTTTTTGTGCCTGAATTTTTCTGCTGTTTGAGGTCAGGGATGTCTCTTTCATCTTGATTTCTTTCCCTCTTTTGGAGCTCCATTAAGGTTGTTGAACTGAATAGAATTCATGCTCTTTGTGTAGATTGCCAATCACAGGGGATGTCCACTGACATACTCAGATCTCTTGAAAATTCAAACCTATCAGTGTGTATGAAACCAGGAGTTAACAGCATCATTTCTAGTTTCTAATCTAATAATAATTTTCAGTCTTGGGACATTTTCAAAATACAGATTGTGTACAGAAAAGTGTCACATGGAAAGAAAACAGGCATTTCTGTCTTTGCTTTATAACTGTAAAATGTGAGTGGTTTTGTTAGAAGGGTGGGCTGATCTCCAGGTATTCCATTTTGTGTAGAGGTAAGTTTATAAACCTGGCATTTAGTGGCCTAGTTAGAATAAATAACTAATATTTTCAGGATAAGAACATTTTGAAGGTATATGCCTTCCAGTTTGTTTCAGTATGAACAAAGCTATTCAGAGTATTCTTGTGCATGAAAGGCTTTCTCAGGATGAGCTTCTACGTATTTTTTTTTGAGGTTTAAAGATGATTTTGATCTGCTTAATTGTGTACTTTTCTTTTCTTTTCTTTTCTTTTGGACCTAACCTCCCACTCCATTTCCCTCCTCTCCAGTAATAAAAGGAGTTTAATAATAGTCGTTGAGGCATGGAATGAACTGGAAGTTTTATTCAGCTAACTTGTCTCAAAAGGTATTGCAGCCCTCACAGTACTTAATACATGGCGGCTTGATTTTAGTGTCAGGGAGGATATGTATATACCTTTTTTTAAACAACATGAACCATTTTTTTGTTAAAAACCATTCCTTGATTCTTAATTATTTTTTATAATAATTAGAATGTATGTATCCTGCAAGTATTTCAGATACATAATTTGAACCAAGAATTAACTTTCTCTGACCTTACTGAGCAGAAATTTTAACAAATTCCAAAGTTGATTGTTATG